GAGTGGATCTATATAGTCTATGGCTTGGGGTCAAAAAAGCCCACTGTATCTTTAATTACAGTTTTCATTGATTTGGTTTTGTTGAAAACAAAAGTCAGGGTAGTTCCTTACTCCGAGTTTACAATTAAAAATTGCTTTTAGATACTGTTCTCCTTTTAAAATATTGTGTCATGCTGTAAATACAGTCTACAATTTTTCATCTAGCTAAAATAGAAAAATATTTTTTTAAAATCTGATTGTTTTCATAATCAGCTAAAAATGTTATTTTGCTCTCTTATCCATCTAGACACAGCGTACATCACCTAGGTCACTTTTTACACTTAACTGCACAAATAGGAGGAAAAAATACTTCGTTAAACTCAATTTAATCAAAACAAAAATAGGCAGAGCAGCAAACTAAGTAGCTCGATTATCTCTCCGAGGGGCCATGGATTTTCCACATGAAAAATGCAACAAAGAGGACATACATAAGTTGTTGAACCGTCCTCACAGTCCAGTGATTTTAATCAGTTTGGCTTATTTGCCCCAGGGATAACTTGGTCATGAGCCAACTGAGAAGTACAGAAGTGAAGCAATTTCCCAACATAACCGCCGTCTCCTTCTGATCACGGGACTTTTAATCATGCCACTGGAAAAAACAGAGGGGCATCTTAGAAGGACAACTTTCTCCCTGTAGGTTAAAAAAAAGGGGGGGGCGTAATTGTACTGGATAAGGCACTGCTACCTGCCGCCCCCCAAGGCTTTGTTTCCTCAAGTTTCACGCTAGGAAGCCCTACAGCCAGGACCATTCGCAAGAGACTCTGCAGCCCCCAGTGGCCGAGGAGGTGGGTGGGTTTCGAGTGTCCCTACAAGCAACGTAGTCCTTAGGACCTCCCTCTTGCACCAAGGAGCGACCAAGAGCCACTCTCGATCGGACCCCCCAGAAAAACCTTTCCTAAAGAACCGATGGGAGGCGAGGGAAATATCGCTAATGCCTCCTCCCCATCTCCTGTAAGCAGCCATGAAAAGCTCAAGCCGACGCTCGGAGTCCTCAGGGCCAGGAACCGCAGCCCGCGAAGAACTGGGCTCTTTCTTGAGCCCATCCATGGTAAAAGGCCAGACTCAGAGATGGGGCGCGCTCACCTGTCAAGAAAGCGGAGAGCCGATAACTGGCCCGCAGCACTTGCGGACACCGCGACAGAGAGGAAGGGAGGGAGCTTGAGAGGGAAATAACATGGCCGGGGCTGCGCTATGAGGGCGGAATCATTGGCCCTCACGTGACATCAGATGAGGACAGCCTCGCCTCCCCGATTCTCGGCCCAACTGAGCGGAAAGGAGGCTGTTGCTAGGCTACAGGGCCTCGTCTCTTCCAGACTCGCGGTTCTAATTGGAGACTGTCTGCCCCGTCCCGCCTCTTTACGTGTGTCCGCTCTGCTTGCTGGGCCCCTGGAAAACAGCGAAGCTAATAACGTTCGTTCCTGTTTGAAAATTTCGCGGAACAAGTAGTTAGTCCAGTGTTTCTCAACCTTGGCGAGTTTAAGTCCTGTGGACTTCAACTCCCAGAATCCACCAGCCAGGAATTCTGGGAGTTGAAGTCCACAGGACTTAAAGTCACCAAGGTTGAGAAACACTTAGTCAGTCTTCTGCAGCTCTTTTGTTTTCTGCCGCTCTAGTCTATAAAGTATTTTCTTAGGTTCTGACATTTCATGCCTTTGAATTAAGCTACTTGGATAAGATTGTTAAGAACCAACAATCAAGATGGAATACTTGATGGAATCGATCCAAAGTAATCACTGGAAACCCTAATAATGAAATTAAACTTTACAAAAATGAACGCATAATTGTTTTTCCAAGGAGAGCCTAATGTTAGTAAATAAATTCATTGAAAAGTAATTAAAAGTTACTTGCAGGATATAAGGTATCTAGTTGCTATCATTATGGATTTATAAAACAATATTTAGTAAAATGAGGCCTTATCGCAAATGCCTTCGGAAAAATATTTTCCATTGCAACTTGTAGTGTGAAATCATTAGGCAAATTTCAGCTATGTATGAAGTAGCCGTTCTCTATCCTTAGCACTGAAGAAGGCAGAGCAAAAGGTTTGGTCTAGCACACGTGCTGAATGTTGCATCAAAACTTTATAATGGTTATCAATAAAATACTCACCTAATCATCCACATTTTCAAGAGAGATGTCTGTTTTACCTCACAGTGCTTATGGAACAATATAGTTTTTTTAAAAGCCATTTTCACTTTGCTTCACTAAGTTTAGTTGCACACTTAACTGAGTTGTGATGTTAGAGATATATTACTTGGAGATGTAAACTTACACTTATACACAGCCAATGCTGTATTATTTACAGCCCTAATAATTTGCATCCAATGAAAAGACTATATGATTGAACAGAGGATGAATCTGAAATGTACCCAAGACCAATATACTTATTCTTGATATGAAAAATTCAGTGAACAATTGATGGTCTAAAAATTAAAGCAAGTAGATAAATATCTCTACCTTAGCAGAATGCTTACAAATGCTGGGGGAGTGGCAGCAGATGCTGGGAGAAAGATAACAAGTAGTTTGAATGAAGTGTGTGTCAAAAGTAAAATGACCAGGTAGAAGAATGATTCTGCCCACATACAGTATATAAGACAGTGAGATCTGGTTATGTCAGGAAAGTCATAAGATCAATGTAGTGTGTGAACTTGAACAAATAGTACAAAATAATAACATAAAGGCAATTTAGTCATAGGGGAAAAATGAAGGAGGAATTAATCACAAATATGTAACTTGTTAAGAGTAAAGGAAGACAGAGGAAGTTGTGAATAGATGGTTGATGAGATTCTTAACAATTTTGTTTTAAAAACAAAATGTAATGAAGAAATATAAATATAAATATTGATATTGAACCAAATTCATTTTTTTATTATTTCAAACTGGATAGACAGTTTGTCTAGTGATTAAACCACAGGGCTGGAAAGCAAGAGACTGCGAGTTCAAGTTCTGCCCTTGGCTATGAAAGCCACCTGGGTGATCTTGGGCCAGTCACTCTCAATCCAACTCAGCTCAAAGGGTTGGTGTTGTGGGGAAAATTGAAGGAGAAAAGTGTGTTGAAGATGTTTGCCACCTTGAGTTATTTGTAAAAATAATAAAGGTGGGAAATAAATATTGAATTTTTCCCTTGCTTTATTTTGTTTGGCTTGCTATTTTTCATTTCTTTTCTGAATTTTACATAATGTTTATCTCAGAAGAGATTAGTATGATGGGTATGCATGCATATATGCATGTTTTTGAGTTGGGCTATAAAGTCTAATAACACAAATACCTAAGTCATAATAAATGCTTTAGTCTTTAAGATGCTTCAATAGTTTATTAATCTTCCAGAAATAAAAAAAACCTTATAATTTTAATGAGTAAATATCTTTTTTAATTGTAATATTCTTTTTTAGTATTATTTAGTAACTATTTACATTGGCAGGATTAAAATGCTTTAGTGTAAAAGCTTAGAATAAAATATGAATCCAATAAGGGACACCCCAAACCACCATAATGAGTAAACCTAGAAATCAAACATTAAACCTGTATTAATTATAAAGTTTGATCACTTAGAATAAAATTGATCTAATCTATCATTCTCCACAAAAATGCAGCATTGAAAAGTACTGTGTGACTGATTAGATAGAAACTTGACACATAGCCACTGTCTATCTGCCTATATCAGCAAATTTAGTGTACAAAATAACAAAACACCTTGCTTAATACAGCTGGCATCTCGCTGCTCTAGGAAAAGGTAGTCCTCTGGATTCAAAGCTACTTAAAGTCTTTAAAAGGTTAAGAAACTGCACATTCAATTGGTTCAGGGAACTTACAGGTAGTCAATAAAGCTGTTTTAATATTAGTATGATATACATTGAGCTATATTATCATAAAAGACATTAAATTAACATATTATTTGCCCTCAGGAGTATGGTCAGAGATGCTATTCAGCAGGTTCTGACCAGTTCTGGATAACTGTTAGTGGAAATTTTGAGTAGTTTGGAGAACTGGTAAATACCACCTCTGACTGGCCCAACCCCCTCTATTCTCTGCCTCTTGAGTCCCAGCTGATTGGGAGGAAATGGGGATTTTGCAGTAACCTTCCCCCACAGTGGGGAGGGAATGGAGATTTTACAGCATCCTTCCCTGCCATGCCCACCAAGCCATGCCACCCCCACCAAGCACACCCACAGAACTGGTACTAAAAAAATTGAATCCCACCACTGGGTGTGATGCTAGTTCGCCTCCTCGCGGTGCACCCTGGATAGCATGGTAGTGTGAAACAAACAACTAGCAACAATGGACAGCCAGACTACATTGAAGAATTGGCAATTAACAACAGTTGTTAGACATCTTTGTAGAACTCCTGGCTCTTTAAATACATGGCAATTGATAAACAACTACAAGTCCATGTATTTGCCATACGCTAAATAAATAGATTTGCCCTCAACTTGAACTGAAATCATACAAAACTATTCATATTTCCAAAAATTACACTGCCTTCATATCAAGGACATCTCATATGTCTCTGTGTGTTAGTGTGACAGAGAGGGAGTGAGGGAAAGAGAGAGGGAGAGAGATCTTTATTATCAAGGACACCTTATGACCTCTCTTGGGTCCTCTCATGAGAACTACCAAAGATCGAAGAATTTCAAGGATTATGAAATGTGAAGTAACCATCCTCGGCTACCAAATGTGATGTTCCCGTGGGTCGACCATGAGGCCAATGTTGAGAAAAGACAGGACACGAACTTTCTTGAGATGGAGCGACCCAGATGAGAGTCTGAGAAGCCCCTTTTATTGAGATAGGACAAAGGCGGGAGGAGCAATAGCATGTGCTTAAAAACAGCCTGTAAAAGTACAATTTCTAATCTACTGCTTCAGGAAAGTTCTTTCTATATATGGTCAAATCCTGGACGTCAATGGTAGGGTACATCTCAGAATGTTATGTTATTCACTATCAGGATGTTATGGCTTTCTAGGAGTTTGTTTTCTCCTGTGTGGTTCAGCGTGACTCTGCAAGCCCTAGTATGAACTAGGCCATGGAGGACACACACCTGCACAAGGAACTATTTTACAACAATGAAATAGTCAGGAAACTTCATTCCTAGAGATTTAACACTTCATTCTTAGAGATTTAAGTCTTCAAATGAATGTAAAAAGTTACTAGCTTAACAATGCTTTTAAAATATACTCTTATCTGTAAGTTGCATGACATTGATACTATAGTAATGCTGATTTGTAATTATGAACTGGCCTGAGTCATACTCTGCTTTTCTAAACAATTTCCAATATTTTACAATCATTTGTTCAGTAATTCACATCATTTTATTACAGCACAAAACCATTTAAGCATTTTCACTACTTCCACATTCAAATATTTGCTCTGGATTACCATATTTTATATTTACTTCTAAATAATGTACAATCATAAACAGATCCATCTGTTGTGGTACCACTGCTCTCCACATTTATTACAAATCACATAAGTCATCATTTGTTCATCTGGATTTGTATTCTGCACCCAACCAGGAAGGAAAAGGGCTCCCCTTGCAATGACAGTAATAGTGCAATCATACTTTTCACAGTGCTTACATTTTATTTTGCTTGTACGTGTACCACTGATATTTTGGGGGAGCTGATGTTCCAGAACAGATGACTTGGTAAATGAAGTCCTGAGCTCTTTCAGTTCATCATGTGCCATTTCCATCACAGACATATCAGCAAATGTTTTGGGATTAAGAGCCCCTGAAAGCAAGTTAGTCTTTAAATGAAAATTTTTAGGATTTTTCAAGTTTAAAACTTTGCTCCTGATACAGTTTTTGTATTTTCTATTATTTTTTACATACATTGCAAAAATGTGCTGTTCAATTTCTTCGACTATTTTGTGATGCTTTTCATTTTGTTCATTGCTTGTTGAAGAGTCACACAAAGCTTTGTTAAGAAGTTCTATGCATTTAGACCTTAGAGGTGTAATAGGATCCTCAGATGGGTTTATTTTGCTATCCAAGCATGTGACTCCCAGATGTTCTGATTGAATTGCATAATCCTCTTGCACATTACTTCTAACAGCTTTTGAACTCTTTTCTGATGGCAAGCAATTGTTAGAACTGACAGAATCTACTTTTTCAAACTGACCCTTTTCACCGAAGTTTCTATTCTCCAAGACTACCTGATCATTCTTAAAAGATATTTCCATATTACTGGGTCCTGGTTTAATATGCATTGATTGGTATTTTTTATAAAGTGTTTTCCATTTCGACAATAAATGCTTAGACTTGTTTTTCAGTACTACTGAGGGACAGTTCTTGAGGATTTGGAAAACAGCTTTGGCAATATCAGTTTCTTGGAGATTATTTATAGTCATATCAACTGTTTCAAGATATTCAAGATGACTTCCAATATCTTGGTAATTTTTTTTATACAGTAGATTCTCTATACAAGCGGCTGTAGTCATGATAATGCTTCTGTTAGACATTGCAAACTCTGAAATAAAAGTAGCAAAAGCGTTTTTAAAACTACAGTGTACCATATAATTTTGCATGGAGAGTAAAGTATAAACTAAGACAACTGGTTCAAACAATTCTTCATATTTGAACATTTACCACTCCCTGCCACCACCACCCTCCCTCTCTCTGTGTATATATATATAATTTTTTTTCTTTTTCTAGTTACTCTCCCCAGATAAATCTAGTTCATTTTCCTTCTGTTTTTTGCACATTTTTCTAATAATGGGCAAAGTGCCTTTATATAATTTGTTCCAATGTTCTGTTGGGTTAGAAATAATGAAAAGAAAATCTAAAGTTCTTAATATTGGACCACTAATATTTGTGTATAAACATTTATTTACACTACAATTTTCTTACAACTTTTACTATAAAACAGATTGCCTTTTTAAAAAAATTTAAGCAGCTATTATTTAATATTTTCGAACAATCAATAGTTGGGAACAATTTAGTTGTGACAAAGGGAGAGCCTGGATCACACTTGGTAGGGTTGTACCAAACCCATACAATATGGAAAATATTAGCATTCTCTATTTTTTTCCCTTGGGTTTGGCCAGTTGTTGTTTTTTCTTTATACCTATACTAAGCATATCTGAACAGTTACACTGCAGGTTACTTGCATTTCTCGCCATCAGAATTTTGGGAGGCATAAAATGAGGCTCCTCTCTAATACAGAGCTCTGAGCTATATTTTTTTTCATAAATTCTTGAATGGTTAGATTCTTCTACTTTTATACCACACATGAAAATATGTCAGAACTTATATATCCCTTTAAAACAGTGTTTCTCAACCTTAGTCATTTTAAGAAGTATGGACTTCAACTCCCAGAATATCTGGGAGAATTTTGGAAGTTGAAGTCCACACATCTTAAAATGGCTAAGGTTGAGAAGTATGCTCTAAAATATGGCTTTCCTAATCACTGTTTAATGAATAAGCCACAAGTAGTAGTTTTAGCTAAGCCTGGATTTGTAACATGTGATGCCTCAAACAAGCAAACCAAAAAGCAGTTTGAAGTATCACATAATGCATGAATGTGGCTCATCCTCACAAAACAACCTTCAGCTTTGAGCTACAATTCCCATCACTTTCAGTGAACATTGCTCATGCTAGTTAGAAATGATGAAAGTTTTAGTTAACGATGTTTGGGAGTGGCAGCTTATAATTATCCTTAACTTTTAGCATGAACTTACAAGCGGAGGAAAATATGAAACAAGAAAAAAAAATATACTATGCAGTGCAACCTCTATACAGGTTTGAGTCAGAAACACATTAGGAGAGACAGAAGATGCAGATACAAGGGGTACCAACAGAAATGGCTTTTCTAAGTTAAGTATTTTACCAAAAAGAAAGAAAAAGAAAAGAAAATCCACCTGATGCGATTTCCATACAGTTTACACGAGCTCTTCATTTGAAAACGCTGCTGCTATTGCAGCTAATATCCACATTTTTGTCATATGGCTTAAGCTTTATCTGGCTGAACTACATAACAGTATCCTGCTAAGTATACAAATAGTTCGTTTTTAGAAGATTTCCCCGAAGCCCAGTAACAAGATAGGGTCCCCTCCTGTGGTGTCACCCAAGGTTCACGGGGCGCTTTCTTCCCCACCTAAGACGAACCCCACCACGGCATCGGTTCTTGCTCACCTGGAGATTCTCCCAACAGGGCCGGTGCAGGACTTCCGCCCTTCCAGCCTCCCTTCGCCTGTGGCTCCGCCCCTCAATCAGAAAAAGTAAGATATGTGAAAGTAATGAGGGTATAAGAGACGCTCGCCTCTATACCCTCATTGCGAACGAGCGGCTTCTCTCTCTGGCTCAGCCCTAAGTGCAGCGCCCTCTGGAGGTGCGGAGAAGCTGCCGCAATTCCAAGCGTGTACAGCCAATGCTGAGAAGTATGGGAGTTGAAGTTTTTATATTTGGAGACTGAAGAAGGCTATAGTGTGTGGTACGCTAGTTGCTATTTCTTCGAGGTTGCGGTATTTGTGGAATTCTAGCAGCGCAAAGTAAATATTCAGGAATAATTTCAAATTAATTTTAGTGCCGCTTAGTTTAAAGTGACCAGATTTTCAGATTGGTAAAGAGGGACACCTTTGACCGGGGTGGGGGGGGTGGGGGGGGGTGTTTGTTTAAAAATTTTATACGGAGCAACAAAAATTTTCATATAACGCAAAAAATAGTATTGTAATTTTTTTTATTTCAACATAACTACAATTTACAAATATAAATTGTAACGTGACCATGAGGATGCTGCAACAGTCGCTAAGTGTGAAAATGGTCGCTAAGTGTGAAAAATGGTCATCAGTCACTTTTTTCAATGCCATTGTAACTTTGGTCACTATACCACCTTTCTTGCCACAGTTCTTAAGTGAATAACTGCAGCTGGTATTTTGTATTTTGGATAGAGTCTTTTTTTAAATAGTCTAAGACAATTTAAAAAAATAATCCACACAGAATAAATTGAAGTAAAACATTTCAAACTATTCCACACAGAATAAATTGAAGTAAAATTATTTTAAAAAATTCTATGCAGAATATATTTCAAAGTATTGTGCATAGAATTTTTAAAAGTGGTTTCACTTCAATTTATTTTGCATAGAATCTTTTTTTAAATAGTCTAAGACAATTTTAAAAAGAATCCATACAGAATAAAACTATTTTAAAAAATCCTATGCACAATAAATAAAATATTATTTTAAAATACATTAAAAAATAAAAGAAAAAAACCTGGCTCACTTACCAGAGGCAGGCATTCCAAGTCAATCCAGAATGATGTAGATGTTAATACAAAGAACTGAGCAAATTAAAATGGTGAAATTATTAGTCCCAGGGAAATATTTTTCAAAGAAACTTTGCCACCATTTTTTCCACACGAGCCGACCTCCAACCTCCGTGCCTCTCCCCTCTGGGAAATCCAGGAAGAAACAGTCCTTACTTCTCTAGCCAAGTATTTCCTGCAGCTCTATGGTACTGGGTCATCTTTTCTTATAAAATGAGGTAAAAGGGGTGCGGGAGGCGTCTGTTTTCTTGCTTTAACATTTTAATATCTTCAATGAAAGTACTGAGACAGAGAGAGGGTTTAGACAGAGTGTCTTTTGTCTTGCCCCAGTTAGGATTTCTTAAGCAAATCCACTGGGCTTTCAACATGAAGCCAGAAAATCGGGACTTTTTAAAAATGCCCCGGGAATGGGACAAATTGTTAGAAATTGTGACTGTTCCACTGAAATCGGGACGTCTGGTCACCTTAGCTTAGTTCCATTGACTGTTAAAGACGTGTTCATCTGGAAGCTGGAACACTCTACATTGTCTACAACAAAGTAGCCAACTGCATTTTAGCCTTGTGCAAATTCATCTGTTATGATCAGTTGGGTTCTATGCATTATGTAAATCCACAGAATTGAATTAAAAAGAATTGAGTCTAAGAAGTCTAATTTATCATTTATTTTTCCAATTAATTAAAAATATTAAAATGTTTACCATCATATATGGAGTTGAAAAGGAAATTTACCCTATTATTCAGCCTCCCAAGAAGAGGTTTACATTAAAAATACAAATTTATTAAAGAAAGAAAAATAAAATACTTGTTACCCTTTATATACATGAGAATACACTGAAGTCAATCTGTATATGTATTTGGCAGTATATTCAAGATAATTTAATGGAATAGCGACAAAGAAACAATTCATAGGCTTCAAGGCATATTAAAGGGTTCACAACATGTACATACAACATTTGGGTCAATGTAAAAAATATGCAACATAAAATTATTTAAAAATACAGTATTTGCTCTTTTAATAAACTATTGTTTCTCTCCCCAGAAGTTTGATTTGGCATCTTTATTTCTATTTCAGTTTAAGAAACTCTTATCTCTGGCTTATGCTGAAGAACACTTTGCACAGTATTTTTAAATTATCCATACATGCTTATACATTTTGTTATGGCTTATATTGCTGCCTTTGCATTTAGTCTTCACTTTCTGCTGCCTTCTGCTAAGTGCAGGTTTCATATAACTTTCAGTTTTAATTTTCATTGGGGTAAATGGATCTTCAACATGTTTTATGTATTATATGTGACATAGTGAAGGCCTTTATATAATAATCACTTTAATTATATTTTTAAACTCTTTAAATAAATATCATTTTAATTGAGCAACTTTTAAACTACATGAATAGGTCTATGTAGTTTTTCTCAGCAGCTACATATGAACTTCCGAGATATTTTTATAACTTCTTCAATCTGCTGGCTACCTTATGCACTCACATCTACAGCAGTGGTGGGTTTTCAGTTTTTTTACTATCGGTTTGCTTGTGCGTGCTCGCACGAAATTTCTGTGCATGCACAGAAGCATCCTGGTGGGTGGGTGGAGCCTCCCGCTGCCGCTACTACCAGTTCGCCCGATCTGGCCCAAACTGGGAACAACCCACCTCTGATCTATGGTAGGTCTCCAGAATTTATACCGTTTCAAATGCCATTTTCAGTGACAGTATTAGTAGACTGAACTAATAAAAGTTTTAGTTGAGTTGATTTTGATCTGAGTTGATTTTGTGGTCTGGACTACCTAGTGGGGATTTCAACAATTATCTTCAAATTCTGTCAATTTATAGAAACAAATCTGATGTTCTGTCTGTGTTTCTTGGTGTGCCAAATCACATCTTCTTGGTTTTTAAAAAAACACATAATCCTTATTAGATGTGCATTTAAAGGCATACATGGCAACATTTTATATTCAACTGAACTATTCTAGTACCTCATTTTTCACAGAACAAAATAAATATGGCTTGTTTCATATAGCCAATATTTTAATTTCAAATTCATTTTGATGATATTTTGATATTTCTTCTTCCTTAATTTGGTATTCCTTAATACCAAATTATAAGAGAAGGATGATAGAGCTGAAACATACTAATGACCACAAGAGGGCAGCATTAGATATATTTTGCAACTACTCCCTTGATCTAAAAACAAGCTCCTTCTCTAATTTGATTTGATTTATTGCATTTCTATGCCGCCCTATTCCCAGAGGGACTCAGGGCGGCTCACAAACCAAAGTGAGGAAACAGGAGGAAAACAACGGGCAAACAACTACAACAATTTAAAAACAATCAACAACCACACAATTCGAGAGGGGACAGGGAACTCGTCAGCCCCAGGCCTGTCGGAACAGCCAGGTTTTAAGGGCTTTGCGGAAAGCCTGAAGGGTGGTGAGGGTCCGAATCTCCACGGGGAGCTCGTTCCAGTATTAATAAAGTCAGATATGTATGTAAAATGTGAAAAAATATAAATAATAGCAAAGAACATTGGAATGGGATATTTTACTTATTTATTAAATTCATATGGTTAAATCAATTCACAATAAGTAATCTGGGCAGCATACAACAATCCATCCTCAAGCACAGCACAATGAAGACTAAGCACATAAAATGTGCTTCAAATGACTCTTTCCTGTTGTAGGAAGTTATCACCCACCCCTCTCCTAGAAGAATGAAATATTCTAGGAAATATTAAAAAGGCAGAATATTATATTTCCCTGCATGAGAAATGGAGAAACATGTTTTTTAGGTGGGAAGCAGACTCACTCTTAATAGCCCCCACCCTCCTCAATAGTCCACAGCAGATGTCAGCACTTAAGAGATAGCTAGGTCTATTCATAAGCAAATGCCCTCACCTAAGATCCAACAAAGGTAGGATTAGCCCTCAGCCATAATAGGAATTGCCCCAAACCCTCTTCATTACATAACCACGCAGCAAGATTCAACCAGGCCTGGGACTCAAAAGACAACCTACAAAGTTATCGCTGCATGGCCCTAGGGGAGTCTGGCAACCATCAGAATACATTTCTTATACAGGAGTGGTAAGGCGGGGCCCAAGAGAGGGTATAAATCTCCCTCTAAGCCATGTGCCCTTTTTGCCCAGGATCTCAAACCACGTGGTCCTGTCTACCATTAAACCATCTTTCCAGGCAGCTTCCATGTGTCCGTCTCCCCACTTGGAACTGAACCCAGATGGATATTTCTTCCAACAATTTTTCCACTTCCTTCCTGTCTGATTTTATCTGGTTCTAGCCTTGTTTTATCTACTGGTTCTGTTTTATCTGCTCTCCTAGTGCTTGCTATCCTCTTGTATTCACAGACTACTTATGCTTAATGAAATTTATTCAACCAATTCAATTATCTGGCTTGCTTGATGCACTGAACATTAATCACACTGATAAGTTCACATAACACAAGAGGACATGCCATATAAAAGCAGCAAGCAGATGTTTTAAGTTCCCCATTTTTCTTCTTCAGTCCAACCTCACAAATATTGTATTGTTCATTTTGGTCTGTGTCTTCTGCTGTCTGCCAATTAGTTGTCCCTTGGACTATAATTTGTAGCAGGACGTCAGCCAAACACCATTGCCCAAGTAAAGCAATGACAGAGGTGGGCAGGAGGAGCCTAGCTGGCATCTGCTCTTGATAGACAATTTTAACAGCAAGATTGCTAACAGATGGCTATGAAACACGTTCAATGGGCTCAGTGTGAAGAAGGAAGAATCATTTACTAACCCCCCATGCTTCAATCATGCAAAAAGTAGATTAGTCTACAATAACCTCTATAACTGTTCTATCCCACAAACAAGAGTGGATATAAGTAGGACATACAGTATTTGAATTAATACCCCTCTTGTGCAACATTTATATAAGATATAAAATAGCCCCATCTATAGAAAGAAAATACTTTCTGCACTATGTAACAAGATATAGCATTGGACCCATGTTCCTGCTAATAAATTCATAGATTCTACAAAACTACCAGAAAGCTAAACATACTGAGAGCAAGATTAAACTCTTTCATGCCATTTTATAATTATTTAATTTCATAATTATTTCTAAAGTTGCAGTACTAAGTAAAGCCACTGTGAGATGACTCCTTGCCTTTGATTTGATAAACTTGATTGGGAGAGAGTATTTGTGTTGAGCAATGCAATGATTTATTTGGTTTTGGCTACTCATGTAGTAAGAACCCACATTTAAATCATGATTTATGGTGATAAACCATCCTTAAAGCAAATCATAAGGTGGCACCATATGTGAATTTGGTTGTTGAATGTTATCAACAATGCAGGAGTGATGTTGCTGTTATCTCATGATGATATCCCAGCTTGTTAATAAGTCCTGGTTAATAGCTAAATTAAATTAATCTGAGTCTTCCCAACCTAAACCGACTATGAGCTATGAGATTTGGTTTAATATATCTAAAAGGATTTGGACAGTGTAAACAAAGATATGTGACATATCAACTAACAGCACAAAAATGTTTGCATATTGTTCTCTGAATCATAAATACTTAGAAAAATATTTCCAAAAGAAAACTTCAATGTTTAATAAAAGACCTTTAATGGATTTTCATTTAGAATACAGTTTGCTATATTTTTCCCTATATAGATTATATGAGAACATTATTAAATTATGAATAAGTGAATTTATAAAAGAGAGAATCTATCTTCCATTTCCCAAATACATCATAGACACATATGTATACTGTTTTATGTGTTGAAGCCATATATATATATATAAATATATATAAATATATATACAGTGTATATGTGTATATGTGTGTGTGTATATATATATATATATATATATATATATATATATATATATATATATACACACACACACACACATACACACACACACACATATATATATATATATATACATATATATACATACACACATACACACATACACATACATACACACATACACACACAAACACACACACACACAAATACATATTTACTTTTAAATGTATTTAATTCCCAGATGGGCTTTGGGTTGCTTTTTTTCATGCCATGATATACCAAAATATTTTGAACCTGATCCAAAAATCCAGGAACACTCTGAAGTTGGACATAAACTCTTGGGAAACAGAGTCAGAGCCCTTAGTTTATATGTGAGGAATCATAAGAATGGGTAAGAATGGGTACTGAGAGCTATTTCTTCACTGGAAAGGAAATTTTATACACAGTGAATTTCATCTCCATATGCCTAGAAGTAGAACCAGTTGCCTTGGGAGGCGGACATGAGAACTCCATAAGGTGAAAATATGTTTCTATTATGATCAAAAATTGGAGCATCATATGTTCCCTGTGGCATGAACGATAACCTTGATAAATTATCTTGGTATATTACTTTATAGCATGCATGTACAGTATTTGTGTGAATGTACACACACAAACATGCACACACACACTCACTCACACACACAGGCTTTTTATTGTTGTATCTAGCTTTGCAAAAAAAACCAACCAACCAACCAGAGGAGCACACTACTTTCACAAATTTTAGAAAAGCACTATCCAAAGCAAAGATTTTAATGTTTCTACCAGAAACGTAGTATATTATTAGCTTCTAAGCATAATTTCCCCATTTATTTAACACAATAATAGCTGTATGTACTCATGGATAAGCCAAAAAAGATAGGTGCCAAAATGCACCAAAAATTGGATTTAGCATATTCCTGAATAGGCTTATCTGTGAGTATATATATATATATAATATTTTGAAAGAATAGTTGTATTTCCTGTATATATTACAGGTAGTTCTTGATGGCTTACAATCATTTATTAAGTGACTACTCAAAGTTACAAGAGCACCAAAATGTGACTTGCAATTAGTCCTCATACTTATGACTGTTGCAGCATTCTCATGGTTACGTGATCAAAATCTCAGCACTGGCATGTATTTATGGTAGTTGCCGCATCCCAGGGTCACGTGATCACCATTTGCAACCTTCCTAGCTGGCTTCCAACAGGCAAGTTAAGGGGAAAGCTATATTCAATTAATGACTGCATCATTTACTTAACAACTACAGTGATTTGCTTAATAACCATGCCATAAAACATTGAAAAACTTAGCATGACTCACTTAACAACTGGCTTTCTTATTAATGGAAATTCTGGTCCCTATTGTTGTCATACATTAAGGACTATCTATATTGTCTAAGCCCATCTGTGGATAAACAATCCCTCAAATATTGAACCAAAATACTATGAAAAATCTAGGTTGGCTTTTCTGCAGGTGGCACACTTTTCGTGGTATTTTGGTTAAATATTTGTGGGTCAGCTTATCCACAGATGGGCTTATATATGAGTATCCTGTACATATACTGGTACCAGTGTCAGTAAAAACATGAAGTACCTGAACAGTGAGTTTCAAAATGTTTTGAGATGTGTCTTATATACTATACATATTTATTACAATAAGTGACAGTAACTCCAATAAACATCCACAGCGTAAGGCCATTTTTAGTGGCCATAAACTGGTGCAAGTTCTAAGACAGCAGTTGGTGTGCCTTATATGATTGTGGCCATATTTAATGTACTTTGAGAGAGCCATATTATGTGAAACAAGTTTGCAAAATCAGCAATCATGTGAGTCATACACATATATTCAGTAAGTAGGACCAAGACTTTATTTGAAGGTGGGCTCATTCTGGTTTTTTGTTGTTGTTGCTGTTGTTAGAAATTTATGTTAGAACTTTTATCATACTTTGTATGATTTGTTCTTCAGAATATCAGGAAACCATGCCATCAGGTTTCAGCAACTATATTTTATAAAATGGTTCAAGGCCATAAAATAAGTGTCAACTTAAACTTTGCCAAAGGCCTTTCATTTTTCACTGTGTTCTAAAACATCACAATATTATAGGAAAAGATAGGGAACATTCAAATAAAGCAAAATTTATCTTAAATGGATTTTAAGCACAGATTACTCTTGTAAAACCATTAGACATCTTTTTTTTTGTATAACACAACAAGAAGTTACATAGTATAGTTTACACATAGTAGAAAATGTAATATGTTTAGGTACACATAAACTAACCAGAAACATCTAAATCTATCATTTAAAAAAAATCTGTATCACAGTTAAAGATGCAGTTTCCAGATCTACATTTTATCTAGGTTACAGCATTATAAAATCTCTGTCTGAGATTTTAAAATAATATTATATATAATATAATAGAAATTAAAACAATCTGTTTAGATATCCAACATTACGAGGTCTTCAGAACATAAATTAGAAAATAGTAGAATGGCATCAACTGCAGTTTCTCCAGTTTTACCTTTCCCACGTTCTGCCTCAAAAGTGATCTGATAAAGGAAGAAAGAAAATAATGATTCATAAAATTATGCTATCTATATAAGGGATGAGATAAAATAGAAGACACAGAATTTTGCTATCTTTTGCATCATTTTTAATTCATTATAAGAATCTAAATCCTACATATTCAACTACAATTATTATATGTGATAATAGAGTAATAAACGTTCTAAGGAAGGAATACTAAGGAAGTTTATTGGTAGCTGTTACTTTGATGCAGATGCTTTCTCTACTTTAGATTGTTATCTTCTGCTAAAGGAAGGCGAAGAAATTCCACAATCTTCACAAGGCTATCCATGATGGCTGCAGTATGTCTGAGATTCAGATACTGCAATCTTGCGGGACAGCCAGATAGGCAACTACTACAAACTTGTCCTTTTCTTGAAACAATAATCTGCCTTCATGTAGGAATGTTTCATATAGGAATGTTTCCAATACTGTGTTAAAGTATTTCAAAAGCAAACTACAACCTGTGTGAACTAGTTTGCCTATCTAACAAAAAAGAAAAAAAATGATTATCTCATACAACTGTAAGCATCCCTGAATAACAACTGAAGTTTGTCCTAACATCTGAATGTCTTTGAATCTTCTGATTGGTTTTCCTCTCAGTCATCAAGAATACTCTCACAAGTTAAACATTTGGATTACATTAACAATAATTCATAATGAAATTTTAGAAAACACACAATCTAAAGCATTCACAAAATAGTGAATATTAACAATTTACTCATATTATAATTCACACTTATTTTCTGTTCTTGTAGCAATTGATTTAGCTGAAGGTCATTTTCAAATTGTTTTTTGCTATTTTGTGAATAACTGTTTTCATCTTTTAAGGAATAGCAAACCAAAATACAAATAGTTACAAGTGATCATTTATAGTATGCAACTTGACACACCCAGCCCTGTTGCATTCTACACATAAGGCAAAACCCTGAGAAGAGCAGTTTTTTAAAAAAAACTTTAGCTTACATTCATAGCTGTTTCAGCCCCTGTGTGTACTTCAATCTGTCCAATCCACCATCGTTCATCATTTCCCATACTTTGTTCCACCCTTTCTCCTGCAAGTCGATAACTAAAAATCAAACAATAAATGCTCTTTGGCTCCAGATAGGTAAGAAGAAGTTTCATGCACCCAACATCTCCCTTGTGACCTATGAAGGCTGGAACTGTCATATAATATCCATCAAAAACACACAGAAGGAAAATTACAGCAAGGGGAAAATAGTGTGACATTTGTTTCATCCTGAGTGCTATGGTAACTTCCCCAAAAGTAAAAGGCCACAGCTGTTTAAGCAAAAAAAAAAAATCTGATTCAACCCCGGATATCACCAGTTAAATAAGATCAGAAAGCAAGGAATTGAAAGATTCTGCTTGTGACTCTGGAGAGCTGTTAGAATTAGATGAATGTTCTTATTTGAAATATGCTCTAGGTCAAGGGGCTAGAAATCTTTCCAGAGAAAGACTCAATATGGCACCAAGTTTTGATAATAAACCTCCAACCCTATGAAAAAAAGCTGATTTATTTTCCTGCTAATGAATAGAACTTCATTAAATCAGGACATAATTAATTACCAAATTCATGATCTGCAGGATTCCAGTCAAAGTCGTCATCTGCATCTTGTTGCCAAGCACAAGAACCTCGACCAAAGCTGCAGTCTACAACTGTGATGTCCAGAAACAGTGATTGACGTTCAGAGCCAGAAAGACAAGAAAAATTAATCTAAATCTACAACAATAAAACTTAATTTAAAATATAACCAAAGAATTTTACCTACAATTTGTTACAGTATAACAAATGCTATAAACCCCAAATAAAAGTATATTGTTGCATAAGAAGCAATCATCTCATGATGTTTCATGTAACAGATTTCTTTATCTTAGCAAGCCCCAGTCTGATCCCTTAGGGAAGAAAAACCCTTGACTCCATTTGGTTGAAATAAAGATACTTTTACTTAGAGATACTGGTTGCAGTAATGTCAGGCAGAATCTGAATTTCCTGCACAAAATGACAAAACTATTTCCTTCAGTCCTGTCCCTCCCCACCCCCATCACCAGTTCAAACCCAGCCAATGGGATACAGCCTGGACATTTTGGGATCACTGTGGTGTTTCAGCTGCTAAGTTTCCACACTCAGGGCAAACGGCCTTGAAGATGCTTTGGCACAAAATGATCCCATGGTGATCTGGTCCCGTCCCCGTCCCCCCCGCTGTCATCTCCCTCCCGAATTCCAACACAAAAATACAGGTTTATTGCTGTCCATTCGATTCTCTCCCCTCCCCATGCCCTCTAGTCCTTTGATGGCAAATGCCAGCAGGTTGCCAAGCCAAAGATGGTGGACTTGACACATGAGGTATATATATGTTTTTTTTTAATTTGTGCTGATAAATAAATAAAGGGAGACTAGTATAGATCTATTTCAAGCTATTTAGCTCTCATCAGCTAGCCAGTCTCAAATCCCA